GAGAGAGAGAGAGAGAGAGAGAGAGAGAGAGAGAGAGAGAGAGAGAGTGGGTGGGGGAGAGGGAGAGAGGCGGATTAGGACGGCGCGTGGTGTCTCTGAAAAGCGAATAAAACCGGCGCGAGCGTCGCAGTTTACTCACATCTCACGAGCAGCCCACTCGACAGTCGGTACCGATCCCACGTGTTTCTTCGGATACAACTCAGTGAGACCTGGTCGTTCGTGAGATAAAAATGAGTTTTTTAAAGCTGTGTAGGATAAATCGATTTCTCTCGTGACGGGGATATTTTTTGACTCGGTGGCCGTTTTAAGGAGTATTCTCGGGAGTCAGAGGTGAGGACTGCTCCATCATTTCGGCTGTAAAGTTGGTTAAAATGTTGGTAAAGATGGAAGCTAGATACTTAACGAATACTGCGAGGGACAGAACACAGGCTTTAAAATTATTTATTTTTTTTTAAAGAAAATGCTTGAGAAGATGTGTGTGGATTTTTCACATTCCGTTGCATTAATTATTACCATTATTATTATTACCATCGCATGTTAATAGATGAACAAACCTCTGCCTTTAATACTGTTCCATCGATAAACATGATGCCTGACTGACGCGTTAATAAAGGCCTGTTACTTTGGTAGAGATCAAACTTGTCTCGGGCTGAACTGGAATTGTAAACATTTAAATAGCTTTTATATTTTGTGTAGTTTGAAGCCAAACTCTGAACTCATGAGTTGGAATGTAAATGTCTTAATAGGTGCTTTGCCTCCTGCGTACTGCTCCTTATCCGGCAAACAGTTTGCTGTTCGGCCCACACAATTCCAGCTATATTAGTGCGCTGCTATAAATTGTTCCAGTTCAATCGGGAACCTTATGTTTTAATAAAAACACCTTGTGATCCCGTTCTGTGTTTTGCTATTATAGTAATGTTTTCTTGAATATAATGTGCAAATAAGTGGTTGTAAACGTATCAGCAATTTATTTGTTAAAGCAACATTTTGTGAAATGATTGAACAAAACTGAAAACGTTTCTCTCGCCATTTTTTCTGAAGTTTTCTTTATTCATAAAGCATACCACAAATGCGCTGCGATGCACTAGTTTAATTGAGCTGTAAGCAAGAGTTCTTAAATACATACATTTCAGAAGTTGTCATCTTTATGAAATACTAAAACCCATTTTCAAGTAATATCTATTTTACACCACTTTTTTACTATGAAAATTGTGCTTTTTATTCTACATTCAAAACATTAAAATGTATTAAAATAACACCACAATTCATTTTGATATAACCCAGCACATGGTTCCACTTAATCTTTCTCTTTACAGTAGCTACATTTCCTGCCATTTTTGTGGTATTGCTTTTTAAAATACATCTTAATAAATTGAAAGATTTAAAACATCTGAAGGAATACAGTATTTAGCCAGTGTGTCACCTGAATGTGCTACCACATTAAAGTGCCATAACCAATTTTTTTAATGGGAAAATGAAGGTTGATATAGTTGCCAAAAAACTGCCTCCTAGACTGCCTTAAAATTCAGTCTGTGCCTGTTTGCCTTTAAATATCACTGGGGGTCAATGATGAACTATTTAGGTTTCACTGTTTTCTAAAGGATATTTAAATATGTCAAATTTAAACATTAATTTTTGCCAATATGTTTGGGTGGAAATGTGAATAATATTGTACTTTTATTGTAACCGTTATGTTAGAAGAGTGTGTTATCCTCTTTCACAGTTTGTTCAGTGGCCAACTACTGTCGAAAACATACACACAAACACTCATTACTTCAGAGCTGTGAATTGAAAGCTGTAAAATAATACAAAGGCTATATTTATGTGGAAAATAAATATATTTTTCTGATGTTCCTTATTTGATTTCTTTTTAAATGCAGAGGAACTACTTCAGAAAAAAACGGTTGTAAAACCAAACACTTTACTTAGTATAACAGAGAAATGTTGATTCAGTTCCTCAATTTAGTTTATCATTTTTCTGTGGCCACAATTATTTTGTAAGAGTAGTTTAGATGCCAAATCTATTATCTAATATTTCAAAGTGATGTTGAAGCACTTCTAAATTTAGCAAGTACCAGAAATAAAAAAGGTATTGTTCTGTAAATTGTTTAACAGATACATTTAATTTAAATACAATTAATTTAGAATATCTTTCAGTATTTCAATGTGCACTTTTATTTTTATTTTAAAATTGTTTTTTTTTTTTACAAATTCCACACATCATCATATAATTTCTGGTCACACCTACGTGGTAGAACTATTATATATTATAGTTCATGATCTACATATTTCATATTATTTGTAATACAGAGAGACAGGACATGTGTGTGTAAACAATTTTTTGAAGGTAAAAAAAAAATGAACAGATGTGGATCTTTCTTTCTTCCTTTCTTTTTATGCAGGTCGTACAAACAGTTTTCCTCCAAGTATGGACAAGACCCATCTTTCGAGCACTAATGACATCATAATGACGAGCTCAACAGGCCCCTACCAGCAGGAAGCCCGGACACCACCCAGACCTGCCCATCTCCACTCCTCATCTTCTTCCTTATCCTCTCCCTCTCCGTCCTCTTCCTCCTCACCCCTCAAGCCAAACCAGGTCGGCCAGGTCATCCTATACGGCGTTCCCATTGTATCGCTGGTCATTGATCACAATGAGAGACTTTGCCTGGCGCAGATTTCCAACACACTCCTCAAGAACTACAGTTATAATGAGATTCATAATCGTCGCGTGGCACTGGGCATCACCTGTGTCCAGTGCACTCCGGTTCAGTTGGAGATTCTTCGTCGGGCCGGTGCCATGCCCATCTCGTCGCGCCGCTGTGGCATGATCACCAAGCGTGAAGCCGAGCGCCTCTGCAAGTCCTTCCTGGGAGAGAACGCACCGCCCAAACTGCCTGACAACTTTGCCTTTGACGTGACACACGAGTGCGCCTGGGGCTCCCGCGGTAACTTCATCCCAGCACGCTACAACAGCTCCAGGGCCAAGTGCATCAAGTGCTCTTTGTGCAACATGTACTTCTCCCCAAATAAGTTCATTTTCCATTCCCACCGCACACCAGACGCCAAGTACACCCAGCCCGACGCTGCCAACTTCAACTCCTGGCGACGACACCTCAAACTCTCTGACAAAATCCCGGCTGATGAGTTAGCCTTCGCATGGGAAGACGTCAAGGCTATGTTCAACGGAGGCAGCCGGAAGAGAGCGCTGCCCTCTTCGTCCCATTGTTCCTCCATGGGTTCTATGAAGTCTCTCCATGGTTCAGGAGTGCCTCACATGATGGGACCTGATCTGGTTGCTCAGAAAAGAGCCCGCTTCGAGGACGACGATGACATGGATGGGGGCGGTCTGTCTCCCCGTAAGGCACCACGTAGCTACCCTGTCATCCCTGTCCCAAGCAAAGGCTTCGGCATGCTACAGAAGTTCCCTCCCACGTCGCTCTTCCCCTCGCCTTATCCCTTCCCGGCATTCGGTCTCTGCCAGCAGAAAAAAGATGACAGTGATGTTTCAGGTGGCCAGAAAGGAACGGGGTTGTCGGGTCTCTTATGGCCTGGCCGCAAAGACACCTTTTATCCTCCTTTCTGTATGTTTTGGCCACCAAGGGCAGCAGGAGGGATCCCTGTCCCCACCTACCTCCAGCCTCAACCCAACGCCCTCTCCTCCCTGGCAGACAACCCGTCTCTCAGACAGGCCTTTTTGGATCTCTCAGACCCCAGCGAGCCTGGAACTGTAGCTGGCAGCGGCAACAGTGTCAGCGCAACCATGGCCCCCGGCAGCGGGACTACAACAACCAGATCCGGGCTGTTTGACCCAGAGTGTACAACAGTAGCCCCTGACCTTCGCCCCGTGACGTCAGAGGGCTGGCTCAAACTCCTGGACACGCCCGCCCTCCAAACCAGGAAGCCGAGCTACGGCTCGGCCTTCCGACCCGTCGTTAAGGATGCCGAGAGCATCGCCAAGCTCCACAGCAACGGCGGAGCAGTCGCTGGGACAACAGATGAGGACTTTGTCGTGGTCGCCAGGTCAGACCGCCACCAGCGGCTCTCGCCCAGCAGCAGCTGCAGTTACGGAAGTGACAGTGGAGGAGATGGAGAGGCGGAGGGAATGGAAAGCGAGGAGGAGGGGGAGGTGGACGTGGAGTCGTCGAAGCAAGAGGACGAGGATGAGGAAGGGACCTTCGCAAACAGGCCGCCGCAGGCCCAGACCAACCTGTACCTCCCCGCATTGAGTGAGGAGAGGGGGAAGGAGAGAGGGAGTGGCGCTGTGTACACCAGCACCTCCCCTCCCTCCTCCTCGGACCCCACCCAGCAGGAGCCCTCCAGCCTGCCTGCCTCCCCGACTGCGAGCCTGCCTCTCTCCAGCTCCACCCCGCCTCACCGACAGGACCCGGCTTACAAAAACGTAAATATCCCCCCAGGCCACTTTAGCTAATTATTATTTAAATGGTGCTGCAGTCAGGCAGTGATGTGATCTGCATAAGCAGATTGATAGGCTGGTTTCTCCCTGTAGAAATTGAAACAGTCACCCCACTCTGATCCTGGCTAATAGGCCCAGGTGTGGGTTGTTTAAATGGCCACGGTGTGTTTGTTCTCCCTTTGTCACCCCAGCCTGTTAGGGCAACTCTAATCTTTAACCTGTCGACTCCCACATTAACCAGGCCTCTGAGAGGGAGAAAGGAGGAGGGAGGTAGAATTATGAGGAGCATTTTAAACCAGAACAGAGCGAAATCATCCATTGAGTAACATGCCGCAAACACAGCTGACTGATTTCAAAGACGGAGGTGGAAGAAAAGGGTTTAACCATATATTCCTAATTGGATCATTACAAATGAATGCTACCATTGGCTGATAAAAAAGCAGAGCGCCAAACGGGGAGAATACATTTGCCAAGTGATGAGTTACACTTTAGACTCCAGATTAATAATAAAATAAAGCAGGTTATATATTTATTATAGAAGAACAAATGAAAACCCATGTTAATATAAACAATAACCACATCAAAGAATATACATTACAAAGTCATTACTATGTGTTTTGGACTTGTTGTTCTGCTTTGTTGTAATTGAACTATATGATGCATAACATGTATGTGGAATTCTGACTGACTGTATGTTGTTTTCAGGCTCACAAAAATAGAGACGAAGGACTACCAGCGTACGCAACCAAAGACAACTCCAGCATCTCTGGTGAGCACGAGACATTTTCATCTTCTGTTAGAAAATTACAATGAAATATCAAATCAGTTTTGTGCAATTCACCATGTTTAAACTCTAACATTGTATTCTCTTCAAAGCTAAAAAGAATCACGCACTATTAATAATTTGCAAAACCAAGATACAGTTTCTTTTTCATATATAGTCTGTGAAAAAAAGCACTTTGCTCGCTCTGCTGTTTGCACGGGTTGCCTGACATCGTTCACCCAACAGTTGTTTTACAATGTCTTGGTTCCATCAAATGTTTGAACAGGTTTTACACTGTTTCATCAAATAGCATTACCCAATCTATTCCAGCAAACTGTTACACACTATCTGTTCCATCAGACGTCTGAGTCAGTTGTATTATGGCGTCTTTGTTTCATTTAGTGTCTGAGTGAGTGGCTTTATAGTGCCTCCGTGTCCCTGCGACGCTCATATTCCTGTGACGTTCCATTTGCTCCTCTCATCTCCCACTCTGACCCTTTCGCTGAGGAAAATGCCTTCGTGTGTATGTGGTGCCGTGTGAGCACACCACCACAAATCACACAAAGGACACACACCATGCGCACACTTAGTTATCTCCATGTGTCCGGATAACCAGCTCAACCAATGGGCCTTACTGGAACTCTCTTCCAGTCTGTCTCACTGTCTGTCTCTGTTTCGTTTTCTCTCAGATGAAAACAAAGAGCAGAATAGTTTCTTTGTGCCGGAGAGTGAAACCTCGGCGCCCGAATACTGGAGGGAAAGCTCAGGTACGAATACTCGCTTGTGGTTTTTTTTTTTTTTTTGGTGGTTGCAGAGCAGCTGCAGGTGGTAAAACAACAATGCAATCAATGAAGACAATACTGTAAACAATGTAAATGACATTTTAAGTACTCTTAAAAGTATGATTATTAGAAAATCAGGGTTCATTTAATTTCAGCATTTGGCTTTACTCTCGTAACTAATCTGAATCTCACATCGCAGAGCAAATCTGCTCTCTTTATAAGACTTCAGATGGAATCATGATCAAACATTTGCATCAGGGAAATAAAAAAAAAAAACAATCAAGCTTGTGACTAAATGGAAGTTAGCAAATTAGAACTACAATTTTTAATAACATGTAGAGAGCAAGAAAAGAGAATATTTGCAGTCTGACATTTAAAAGGTATCAATATTGAGAGGTAAATGAAAGTAAGAAAACATGTGGCATCATAATGGCATCAAAAGCAACAGTCCCTGTTGTCATTCAGCACACACAGGATGGATGAAGATGCACCGTGTATAATACAGAACGCGTATTACAAACGTATAACCTAATATACATAAGTGTCAATGGCATTTCTTCTTATTAGACAAGTGAGACTCGCAGTGAGAGAAAGCTCCTCAGTCTTCAGCTTCATCCTCCTCATTCTCCTCCTCCTCCTCCTCCTGTCAGACGTGAGTTAAGGGAGTCATATAAATACACAGAGACGAAACAGCAGTGGAAAGCGGATTCTGCCGCCGCTCTGCCACGGCTGCTCTCTTAAGCGGCGTTGTCGCCGGGGCTGTTACTCTTAGGGGGGCCGTTATAGTTCAACAAGAAAACATCAGCTCAGAGATAAGCAGCCACGCTGGCAATCTCCATCCTAGACCCATATCCCCGCCGACATAATTGCCTTTTTTTCCCCTCCTCAGCGCAAAAAACCTTTTCCCGTTTGAAAAAGATCACAGCTTATTGCCTTTTTATATCTGTCAGGAAGACATTAAAAGTGCTTTATGACATCTGTGCCAACATTTATATCTATCCCCCCCTCCTCACTCCCTCAACCCCTACACACACACACACACACACCGTAATGATCCCTGCGCATAATGTATAATGTATTTCGAAAAATTACACGAAACAAATTAAATGAGACCACCTTTCCCCTGATTGCCAAACGTCTCCCTGGGCGGTGGGAAGCTCTACGTGATTAGAAGGCCTGATTCCTCTGAGTCCCCCCCCACCCCTCCACTGTCTTTAAACTCTCCCTCTGTTTCTAGGGAGAAAAAATAATCTAATTTTCCATTTATGTAATGCAAACCGCCTTGGCTTTGACTATTCACGGTTAATTGACTGTCAAACGAGGTTGTTATCCTCGGGCACTGTCTGCAAATTTGCTTGTCAAATGAGACAGAGAGAGGAGAGGAAAGGAGAGGAGGAGTGAGGAGAGGAGAGCTCTCTCTGCTCTAAATGAGAGAGAGAAGCATGGGGAGGCTTAAGGAGCCGGGGATATGAAATGACTGGGGGAGAATATACACATCGAGTTTGCTGGATCGCTTCATTTAAGGTGCACAATGCCTCATTGTCACAATTCAGACGTTAGTGCAAACACATTACATACATACATGCAAGAACAAAATAGGAACTTTTAAACGGCTAAATTCGAAAACAGCGTGTGATGAAGATGTTTGTTGAAAGAAAAAGCGGATGGAGGATGGTGAAGTTTTAAAGCAACAAGTAGATTGCCTACAGCAGTAAAAAAAAAAAAAAGCTTTAAAAAGTACACAGACATAATATACACACTGTGAAAGTCTGCATGACGATAATAATACCCTTTTACATTGACAACAATACACCAGCCAACAAATAACATTGCTGACATTATAATGTAAATGTGTGAGAGCGCGGTAACCTGCAAGCTTGCAATTTGTTTTAAGCAAATGAGTGGAGTGGCCTTTTAAACTTCCACTTTTCGGCACAGACCTTCACTTCAGCTCCACAAGCTACGACATCGATTGACTCTAGTTTCGTGTTCGTTTGTTTTCCTTAATAGAGAGCAATATGGTCTGACAGCATGAAGAGATTGAACCTCTCGAGCAGCGAGTGCAGTAAAGGTCTCCAGTTTACAGTGCCGTCAAATTGTTACCGCAGACTTGCACCGACATCTAGAGGACAAAGAGCGAATTGCAGCGCTCGCACGCTGACGGGGCCAGTGAGGGAGAGGCCGAGGCGATGCAGAAATAAAGAAACGATCCCTCAGGACCGATGGGCATTCAGTCCATGACCAGATTATGATTCTGTGACTCACACATGTGTTGCATATTCAATATACTGCCTGATGTTGTGTAAGAATAGGATGGAACAACAACAGCTATAGGTGCCACAGTGTAGCTGATGTACTGTAACTGTATGTCTGACATTAGGAATGGCATGTGTGGGACAACAGTCTGAAATGAAGTCTCTCCGTGTTTTCAGGTGATCGAAGCCAAGGTGCTACCTCTCCTGTGCCGCTAAAGAAGGATGTCGAGAACATGGAGAAAGGTAAATATTTTCAGCTTGTAGATAAAATATGCCCACTCCTCTCAGATGGATTGACCATACCGATACATGCATACATTTATAACAAACAGCCCCCTTTTCTCTTTCTCTCCCTCGTATTTTCATTTCTCCTCCTTCCTGCTCCTTCAGAGGAGCTCCAGAAGGTTCTGCTGGAGCAGATCGACTTCCGGAGGAGACTGGAGCAAGAGTTTCACGCTCTGAAGGGCACCTCACCATTTCCTGTCTTCCGTAAGTCACTTTTATTTTCTTTTTTTTAAACTCACCTGGCTTTCCTTTCTCATTCTCTGAAGGGTAACTTCTCCTTCGCTGTCTTTCTGACGAACTCTTCCATTTTCTCCTCTCTTTCCCCCTCCTTTCCTACCGTCTCCTTCATCCTTCATCGGCTGTATTATAATAACTGTGCTTTATCAGTTACTCAACTACTTACGCTAATTTCAGATAATTTCCAAGACCAGATGAAACGAGAGCTCGCCTACAGAGAGGAGATGGTTCAACAGTTACAGATGGTAAGATTACTAATGACACAATCAGTGCTGAACACTGATGGAAAATAAATATCATTGTTACGCCTTTAAACGACAAATGAAAAACTCTTTTATAGACACATGAATATAAAAAAGCCTCGCTGCTCGCTTTGAAAAACAATCATGGTGATGATTTTCAGAAGGAATATAATTAAGACTAATTATGAAGCGCTTTCCAGTAAAATATAGTTACACTATTTGAACAGGGAAAGAAGAACTTAAAAACACATGAGGAAATGTGACAATAACAAACCAATTAACACCACAACTACGGTGGACCGTAGACATAAATATGAAATCCTAAGCCATGTCTTGAGACTGCAACAGAAGTAGACGAAGATTAAATAAAGCCATCAATACAGGACTGAACCGGACGGCTCTCCCATTGCTTATTTGTCCATCAAAAGACGGAGCCAATCATCTAGTTTGTCTTTCACGGGTGAGAAGTTCCTCCGCAGTTGTCTGAGTGTTTCCGTCCACATCAATCAACCGGAGCAGCTGGCAGACAGGCTGACAGACAGTGTTTGCCTTTGCGTTCTGACACATGCAGCGGCACACGCTCGCGTGCACATGATGTCAAACACACAGCACGTATACACACACCCAAACACACACGAGAGCACGCTGCATTTGTGTACCCGCAAAGGCAGACGACCGAACAGGCATTCAAGCTCATTTATAAGGAAACGCACGTGCATACTAGTGCACATGCACGGAAAAAACGGATATTCAAAGTTGACTAATGTGTCTAGAACCAGCAGATGGATCCGTCTGAGAGTAATGATACATTCATTTCACACAGACATTCAAATGAACTCCAGCAACATTTTTGATTTATGTTGCTGCAGCAGGTTTTAGAATTTTGATGGAATATCGTACCCAAACATCTCAACAAGAATATTTTATTTTCCTATTCTAAATCATCAGTGTAATGGAAACTTCATGTTATTTACAGTAAGTTGCTTCTTTTCACAAACGATTTCTGAGATAAAATAATGTTATTAACCTTCAAATAATATTATTTTAAAACTAAAAAGCCATTTTGCAAGAAATTTCAGATGACAAGTCACAAAGGTCAAATGCTTATAGCGTTCTGTTGTGGCTTTTATTAGGTGACCAGTTATTTGGGGATGTTTAATATCAAGGTTTACGAGGCTATATGCAGATCATATACTGTACTGTATAATATGTATAAAGGAAAAAAATATAATCTAACATTTCTGACTTTTTCTTTCTTTCAGATTCCCTACGCAAACATCATCAGAAAAGAAAAGATCAGCTCCCATCTAAACAAATAGCTAAACGGTGAGTGCTTTTTAATTAATTTGACATTGCAGCTTATTAATGGAGAAATATCAACATGGTAGATGTCAGGTGAGGATATAAGCATTTCATCATTTATAACACAAAGCAGCTGCGAGTAAGTTCAGCAAAGTTTAATTGCCTTTGAAATAGTTCTAATAGTTTTTTGGAAGCTGCCACCATATTTAGCCTGAATTTGGTTTGTAGCCGTACCGGGGATAAACATAGACTATCTGCAAATTAAACTAGTTTTATTTGCCGTAAGGGGATAATTTAATGGCAAATGGTCAAATTAAATTATATTTTGTTTAACTTGCGGGACAATTAGTTATCCTGGTCCAGCAAACTTCAGCCATCTGATAGCTACAGCTTAACATAGCTTAACAACGTCCTCTGGACCCATTGCAACAGACTAAAACACTAAACCAGGACATGGCACTAATGTTGTGTTTGCATTCATTTATTGTCTTCACAGCCTGAACCCACAAACTCCCATGTGAGAGGAAGCAGCTGTCTGGATTTCTGTGAATACCCCAAGAAGAAGAAAACAAAAACACTCACATGAAAACCGACAGAGAAATATAGGAGAGAGAGACTCAAACAGAAAGGAAAATTACGTTATATGAAATATAAGTACTTTTTTAAGTTTTCCTTCAACAGTGTTTTTTCTGCCTCTGCAGTACAACCTCTGTTAATAGCCCTGCACTTAAACTCTGTCTGGTACAAACAGCATTTTGACCAGTTTCTACTGCCGTGCTGTAGCACACTGGCTTCCTCCCGGTTTCCTCTCCCCTGCGTCCAGTTTATTCCCCGAACTGAAATGGGCCAAAACTGTTGACTAATGGGGAAACAGAATGACTCCTCCTCTTTTCATCATTGCTGCTTTGGCAGTCAGACTCAAAGCTTTACCCAACCCGGACCAAAGCGACCACAACCTTTCTGGTCTTTTGTGAATTTTAGGGCTGTTGACGAGCACCAGGAAGGCAGCTGTAGACTTTGTCAGAAAACTCTTCTTTTCCGAGCTCTCAACAGATGAAGAGCAAGAGGAGAGAGTCATAGAGAGAGTAAGACTGGCCGTTATCGTCTATGACTCTGACTGCTGCCGGCCCAACTGTACATACACCACACTGTGGATGAGGACAGACTTCACACTGAGATTGTCGTGTGTTGTTATTGTTGTTGCCTTTGTTTCACCAAATGGGGTCCCTGAAGAGAAACCAACACACCAACCTTTATAGACTGGCAACAGGGATTCCCCTCATCATGTCCAGTCGTGTTTATTGACCAAAACAAACTCCCATGTGAACACAAATCAGCATTACCACCGTTTATATTGTGGAGGGTGTGAGTCATTACTGATGAGGATAGATGTTGGTGGGGACTTGATGCGCCCATGTTTAGTCTGTTAGATGACCCAACTTGAATATGCCATGAAGAACAAAATAATAGGGGAAAAGTACTGGTGTTTTAGGTTTTAAAGTATTAATACAGGGTGGTATCACAAAAAGGGCATAACTAATTTTACAGTGGCAGAACAGTTCAATAGTTTCAGTATTTGGGAGTGACCAAAACAAAAGGCTACGTGGTATTGTGTTCAATGTTGCTGCACTGATTATTTTTCACCTTTTTATTGATACAGGAGGAGAATCCTTTGGTCAAAGCCACCCTTAAGATACTTTTAGCCTCCACCCATATTTCTATCCTTCATCGCACATGCTTCACCTCCACCCAGAGGTGAAGGTGATATTGCCACCATCAGCTAGATATGTGGGATGTCTCCAGATGGTGAATCGACTAGTAAAGGCCAATTCTGTGTACTTGTTTGCTCTCCAAATGAGTCTCTGGTTCCGCAAGTGTGTCAGTGTTGTATATCTACTTGTAAATGATTTCACCTGACTGTATAAAATGTCGTAGTGAGAATACTGAACCTCACAGGCAGTCTATCTATATGTGTTTGTTTGTTTATTTATTTGAGTACCAGGGCCTAAGACCCTGATTGTGAAAATATTATTTATTATAATGTTAAAAGAAATAGACAGCAACATGTTGTTGATGACGACGATGATGATGGTGCAGTCAAGTGTATGTCAGAGAGAATTAAAATGAGAACTCACCCACCTTGTTTATAGAATGCAATGAATGAATGGATAAAGTTGTCATTTACTGAGAGAAATGGTATCATTATAAACTGTTAATGCAGATGTATTTAAATATGTTCTTGTAGTTTCTCTACTATTTATGTGTAAATTAAAAGTCTATACAATAACCAGCATGTGGTTTCCATGATTAGACATGACCACAACATAATCCGTTTGGTTATTTTATATATATATATATATATATATATATATATATATAAATATAT